CAGAGCTCTCTTCCTCCATGAGCTTCTCCAAGCGCTTCTCGCTCTTGGTCTGCTCCTGCTCCATCTTCCTGAGGCGTTGGGACGGGGGTACGCTGGCCAACTTCTGATCTTGAGCCACCTTCCACGCTTGAGAGATGGCGTCGACAGAAGCGTCGGGCAAGATCCCTCGAAGCTTTCCTCCTGCAGCCAACTGGGAGAGGCGGTGGAGCTCTTCACGAATATTAGGCTCCCTTCCTCCTCCTGTAGGTTCATCACCCCGCTGTCCACCCTTAGCACCCTGGTACTTGCCCTTGCCCCCGCCCTTGCCGTTGCGGCCACCCCCAGGAGGTCCAGCAATACCAGGAGCACGCACCCAAGGGTTATACTCCCAAACAGGTGGAGGCGGAGGGACTGGCGCGAGGTGCGGGATGGATCCCTTGCAGTGGTAGCAGAACTTGAAGTGGCTCGGGTTTTTCTTGCACCCACAGTGCGGGCAAGCAAGGCCAACTGGCCCCTTACCCTTGCCATTGGATTTAGTCATGCCTCAGCACAACTGGACGTGGAAAGACTTGCTCCACCAGGAGCTCACAAAGCCGAAAGAAGGTGACGACCACCACGGGCGCCTGACTGGGCTGCACCCGTGGTGGCCAGAAGAAGCTGTCCTGGCCAGCTGCCTTGATAAATGGCAACTTGAGCCAAAATGGCTACGGCTCCCTCCCTCTCCCGCCCTCCTCCTCCTCGCGCGGCTCCTCCTCGTCATGCTCCTCCTGTTCCTCCTGCTCCTCCTGCTCCTCCTCCTCCTGCTCCTCCTCCTCCTCCTCCTCCTCCTCTCTCCTCCTCCTCCTCCACCTCCCCCTCCTCCTCCATCCTCCTTCAACCTCCCTCCCCTCCTCCTCCCTCCCACCTTCATCCCCTCCTTCACTCCTCCCTCCCTTCTCCCTCCTCCTCCTCCTCCTCGTCTCGTCGTCGCCCTCCTCCTCCTCCGCCTCCTCCTCCTCCCCTCCTGTTACCCTCCTCCTCCCCCTCCCCTCCCGCTCCCTCCTGTCTCTTCCTCCCTCCTCCTCTCTCTCTCCCGCTCTCTCTCTTTTTCCTTGTTTTTTTTCTCTCTCTCTCTCTCTCTCTCTCTCTCTCTTCTCCTCTTCTCTCTCTCTCCTCCTCCTCCTCCTCCTCCTCTCCTCCTCCTCCTCCTCCTCCTCCTCCTCCTCCTCCTCCTCCCACCTCCTCCTCCTCCCCCTCCCTCCTCCTCCTCCTCCATCCTTCCTACCTCCTCCTCCTCCTCCCTCCACCTCCTCCTCCTCCACCTCCTCCTCCTCCTCCATCCTCCTTCATCCGCCCTCCTCCCCCTTCCTCCATCTCCTTTATCCTCCCTCCTTCACTCCCCCCCCCTCCCTTCTCCCTCCTCCTCCTCAATCGCGTCGTCGTCGCCCTCCTCCTCCTCCCCTCCTCCTCCGCCTCTCCTCGGCCTCCTCCTCCTCCCGTTCCCCTCCTGTCTCTCCTCCACTCTTTCTCTCTCTCTCTTCATCTCTAACGTCTGTCTTATTTCTTTCTCTCTCTCTCTCTCCTCTCTCTCTTCTTTCCTCGTCTCTCTCTCTCTCTCTCCACTCCTCTCTCTTCATCTCTCTTTTCCTCCTCCTCCTCCCCCATCTCCTCCCCCCTTTCTCCCCCTCCTCCCCCTCCTCCCCTCCTCCATATTCGCCACCTTCCTCCTCCTCCTCCTCCTCCTCCTCCATCTCCTCCATCTCCTCCTTCCTCCACCTTCTCCTCTCCTCCTCCTCCATCTCCTCCTCCTCCTCGTCGTCGCCCTCCTCCTCCTCCTCCGCTTCCTCCTCCTCCTGCTCCTCCTCCTCTCCCATTTCCTCCTCCTCTTCCTCCCCTTCTGCCCCTCCTCCTGCTCCTCCTGCTCCTGCTCCTCCTCCTCCTCCTCCTCCTCCTCCTCCTCCTCCTCCTTCTGCTCCCCCGGCTCCTCCCTGTCCGCCTCCCTTTCCTCCTCCTCCTCCTCCTCCTTCTCCTCCGCCTCCCCGCCCCCTCCCCCTCGCGACCGCTTGGAGGGGGGGGGGGGGAAGGCGGACGGCGGCGGCCGTTCACGATGTTCTCCCGGATCTCCTCCTCGGGGCGACGTGACGGGAGAAGAAGCAGCAGAGGCAGCAGGAGCAGGAGGGAAGGGAGGGGGGATGCAACAAGATCGTGGGTGAGGAGGCAAGCGAGCAAGAATGAGGTCAAGGACGAGGAAGATAACCAAGAAAAGGAGGGCGGCCATGAGGTATACAATATTGGGATACGTATGCTAAAAATGGAGGCGGGGTGAATGGCAGGATGAGGCTAACCTAGAAGAACGGGAATCAAGCTAAGAGGGGTTTCCGAAGATATGGTCGGGAGATGGTTTCCGAGGTGTCCCCGAAACGCTGGTCCTTGGTGGATCGCACATCTGGTTTTTCTGAGATATGGGCCCCAGTATGGTTCCTGGAATCTTGTTTTTTTTCGGCGCCTGGCGAGCTCGAAATCGAGCTCGGCGGATTTGCAATTGTTGACGGCAGCGCGATTCTCGTTTTCAGCGGGGTGGATGCAGGACGTGCGATTTTGGCACAGTAAGGGTATTCAAGCGCAGAGCCAGTATCTCCTCCATTCCCGTGCCCCTCACTTCTCAATGCAGCAGAAATCCGTACATATCCTCTTGCCCTCCCTCATCCCTCCCCTCGTGCTCCACCCCTACGTCACACTTCTCCCTGTCCTCCCCACTCCTTAAAGCCTATCCCCCTCATCATCCTCCCCGTCCTCATCACGCTTTTCACTCATGTCCTCGCCCCTGCTCCTCCCCTCCCCCCCAGTCTGAGGGCACGAGAGGCCTCCGAGACACATCCAAGAGGCCCCAACAGGTTCTCCAAGAGGCCCTCTTAAGGCCCCAAGACCCCAAGAAGCCCCAAGACCCCAGGGTTCCCAAGAGGGCCCCAAGATGGACTCCAGGGGCCTCCAGGGTTCCCAAGAGACCAATAGGGGTCCTACAGGGTTCCCAAGAGGGCCCCAAGAGGCCCCAAAATGGCCTTCAAGACTGCCCAAGAGGCCCCCAACAGGTTGTCCAAGACGGTCCAAGAGGTTCTCCAAGACGGCCCAATCGGCTTCCAAGAGGTCCTCCAAAGGGTCATATTGGCTCTCCCCCCCTCCTCCACAGCTATGCTTTCCGCCGCCGTTTCGATTCGAATGCGACTTGCGGCCTTGTCTCCATCACCTTGTTTTTCTGTGAATATCTGAAATGGTTTGTTATGAGTGTTTCGTCGGACGACTGGAACGATACTCATGATGGTGATCGCCCTGGCTGCGCGGCGGCTGGGGCGGCGTCCGACGATGACTGGAACGTTGGCGCGCCCGTCTCCGATGGCCAGGTCTCTGTGCAGAACGATGCTATCGTGGCGCCAGCTCCTGACCAAGCATGTGTTGCAGCAGGTCCTGTCGCTGTTGCCCCTGCTGCGCGCTCACGCGCAGAAGCGGTGGTGGAGAGGGCGCGCCAGCATCGTGTGGACATATGTCGAGATGTGTGTGGCACGTTCCAGTTAGATGTACAGAGCACGACGAGATCAAGAGCTGCACGTTATGGCACTGATGCGAGGAGTTTGATTGAACACGCTCGGGCGAGCGCCTTTTATCTCTTTCGCAGTCTGCGGCAATGTATTTCTAGATTTTTGCAGAGTGCAGTTCTTCGGTGCGGCCAGGGGCCTGGTTCCACCCGTGCTGCAGTGTACATCCGCCGCAGGAAGTACGACGAAGCCCAGCAGCTCTGCATTGTGCCCGTGCCTCCTGTGAGCGGCGATAGTAAGAGTGAGAGCGCCCTGGCGATTCAGGATCGACGCGGCCACCTCGACGACGTCAAGAGCAAACACAAAATTATGGTCACGGGGTTTGCCTGGGCTCTGATTCTGCGACGCGCTGGTGGCAACGGTCAGCAATACTTCACTATGTTGGGTCGGTTGCCGTCTCACTTGCAATCATTCGACAGCAACAATTCCGAGACGGTTGTCCAGAGTTTGAGGCTCCAGTCGTTCGATGGCGAAGTTTCTGTTTCGAATGCTGTGGAAAGGCTTGTGAACATATCGTGCCACGACGAGGGCGCCCCGAATATGAAAGCAGAGCGGCACCTTCGACAAAAGTCCAGCGACAAGGAAGTCACGTTAGATTTGCTTTGTCTCGCTCACAAAAAAGCACAGTGCACTGGTGAGTTTAATAAAGTACAGAAGCCAATCGATTCGAAGCTTATCAGGTTGCAGTTGTCAATGCAAGGGGCCCACAGCAGATATGTCATAGCAGCTGCCAGGTCGATCATTCAAGAAAGAGTTGTGCTCGTCCCCATCGAGTCCTTGAGTGCAGAGGCCCTCCAGATCATGGATAAAACATTGAATCTCTGTATGGGTGGACCTACGCCGTACGACCGATATCGCAGGCACGTTGTCTCGACGTTGTTTTTTGGTGATTGGTCGAGGCACGATGTATTTCGAGTTGTTGACAAGAGCGGTCTCGGGAGGTCCAGACTTGTGAAAATGATGTGCTCGATTGGTTTGCAGTGTCTTATGCCTCGGAGGTCGTGGAAGGTACTGCAGAGGAACAACTGGACGGGCAGCGACGCCACCGTGGATCAGGTGTTGCTGCCGACTCTGGTGTTCGGCATCTTCCCCGCGGCTTACTGCAGAGTCGCGAAGGTCGACGTTATTGCAGGTCGTCGTCGTTATCGTCGTCGTCGTCGTCGTCGTCGTCGTCGTCTGCCGAACGTCGGCCCCCGTGGAAGCATCGCCCCCCGCCCCAAATCGCACCGTCCTCCATCCTCCCCCTTCGCAGTCCTCGCCCTCCCTCCTCTTCCCCTTCGAGCCCGCCCCCTCCTTTAAGTCTTACCGGAGCACCCCCTCGCCCCCCCGCTGCTTGCTCCGCCCCCTCGCCCTCGCCCTCCCCCTGGCCCTCCCTCGAACCCCGAGCCGAGCACCCCCTAGGGGGGAGGGGGGGGCGGGCGGTTTGGGTTCGGAGGGCGATGCTTCCACCAGGCGGGTTTCCTGGACCTGCCGACGGTCTCGCGGGCGCGGAGGACGCGCACCACCTCGACGACGACGAGAACTTGTGGGCCGAGGACGACTCAGACCGCAAGTCGCAGACTGCCAGCTGGCTCGCCAGCGGATCGTTCCAGGATGATTTGGTGATGTTCCGACTGTGCCTGCAGCATTCTATGCAGTGGGTGCTTCGCCAGTTGCGGTCGTCGAGCGTGTCCTTCGAGCGTGAGCAGCAGGCTCGCTTTCTACGGGAGGGCGCTCGTGACTACCAGGCAATCGTGCAGTTCGACGGCGACGACAATAAGAAGTTCATGAATGGCATTGCCAGCATGGTGTTCAATGGTTCCGAGTGCGACCTCATCCAGCGACGTGACGAGGAGCTGCAGTTGAAGGCCTACCTCATGAGCATCCGTCTCGGCGCTGCTGGGCATGAACTGGTCATCCAGAGATGCGCCAAGGCGCCGTACATCACGCTGGCAGGTTTGAAATATCCCAGGCTCTTGGACGAGCTCGCGAAGGAATGCCCCAACACGCTGGACGCCTACACGAATAGTTTCCTGAAGTTTTACCGTGCAGACTTGCACGGAGCGGGTGCGAGGGCAGAGCTGACAGCAGTGAATCTGGTGACTGACACGGACACGAGCTCGACAGAGCGAAAGCATTCTGTGCAGGCGAAGAAGACAGGTTCCACGACCACCAACAGGAAGCACATCGCGGACCTGAGTGCGGAGGTATTTTTTGCCGAGGAGGTTGCCACGAGTTTATGGCGCGTGCAGCCCAAGGCCAAGGGCACGACGCTCCGCCAGCGGCAGCACGTGCAGCCCGAGTGCGAGGACGCGCCTGCCCAAGCACGAGTTCGGAGCGTGGGATCGTGGCGAGCATTCTTGCATTGTGCTGGCCAGTCGTTCGAGGCTGAGTCTGTTGCTGAACTTTCCCTCCGCTACGCGAGCCTTTCGGGCGACGAGATGGCCTACTATGAGCAACTGGGTCGCGTCCTCACCACGATTGCCAGGCATGGCGGCAAGATCTCGAGACCTCGGAAACGAGCTCGGCGAGATCCCCTGCCACTGGAAGACTGTGAACTCCATGATGCCGCTGCACTGCCGATCGAAGATGCAGACCCAGCTGACGTTGCCGAGGATCGTCGCCTTGAGCTGGCAAACTACAAGGCTTGCATGCACGACTTCAGGGCCAAACTGCACCGTGAGCGACAGGCGAACCGCGAGCTGATCGCCAAGCAGGCGGCGATCGAGAGGGAGGTTTCAGCTGGCGCTCCTGATCGGGATGCGCTTTCGGAGACCTTGAGGCCGCAGCTGGGTGCCCGTGCAACCCTTGGCCACCCGCTCCCCCCATTACTTGGTTATGGCTTACGGGGGGGCTGCTCCAGGGGATGGGTGGCGCGGGTGGGCGGGGGTTGCGCAGGCACCTCGAGATCGTGGCACGTGATGGGCGCGGAGATGCAGCAGACCAATTTTCAGACCGAGCATGCTCACGCCAACTCCACCTTCGTGACTATGGACATGAGCACCGACCAGGTGATCGAGGCTTCTGGCACAGTCGTCGGCGATTTTACTTTGGCGTCTGCAGCGCGGGAGTGGAGGAGGATGCACGCGCAGATCATGACGCCGCACCTCCAGAAGATCGGAGCTGTCCCGATCAATCGGCCAGATTGTTTCGAGGCTGGCCGATGCGTCTGCCAGGGGGACCTCGGCATGTGCATCAGGCTGTTCGTGGCTCGCGTTCGCGCTTCCCTCCGTGCCTTGAAGGCCAAGCTCGGGGCCAAGACGGGCTTCAAGAATGTTGTCAGCGGCGTCCCACTGCTGGTTGTCAAGATCGAGGCCGCTCCTTCATCCGCGGGGCCTCCACTTCTACAGGATGATGTGTGGCTGCATGTTGCCAGGCTTCGGGGACAACCAACGGTCTATCCGACGTTCTGCCGCATGGCTCGTCTTCCTACTGAGGATCGCGGCGACTTGATCGGCGTCCAGCCTGTCCAGAGCGGCGAGTCTCCAGATTTCATCGACGTCTGGAAAGTTTGCCTCGACTTGCTGGCCGTGGACGGGCCGTTCAACATCGTGTTCTACAGGCTCGTCGGCCAGCGGCGTGTGCGAGTTCACCGCATTTCCCCTTGGAGGCAACGTGTTGCGAGGTTGCAACTGGAAGACGACTTCTACCCCGCCATCGCCGTGTGGGGCGGCATGGAGGTCGAGATCAAGAAGCTCGAGGACACCAAGGAGGCTCGGAGGCTGGCGCGCAGAGGGAAGGGCCGAGGGCGAGGAGACAGTCGTGGACGGGGCCCTGGCCCAGGGCGCGGGGGAGGTGCAGAGGCTCCGCATGCTCTCTGTGACGACGAGGCGATCGACGAGGTGTTGTCGGGCCTGGGCGGAGGCGTTCTGGGCGAGGATCCCGAGGGGGGAGCTGAGCCTGAACCAGACCCCGAGTCGGACTCCAATGGTGGCAGTGATCACATGTATCCGCCTTCCGATTCGGGGTCGCTGTCATCTTTTTCTTTCTCATCTGACGGCGGCGCCAGTGGCGGGGGCTGCTGTCCAGGTGGCCGCCGATCGTCCGACGAGGACATTGGTTCTATCGAGTCGGATGTGGATTTGGAGGCTGAGATGTGGCGCGCATTGCCGCCAGGCTCGGCTGTGGGCACGCCGACGGGCAGCCCAGCTTCGCCGTCTGGCGGCGCCTCGGCGGAGCCCAGCGCCCCCCCTCTGGGCCAGCTCCTGTGTTGCGCTCCGCGGCGCCTTTGCGCGAGGAGAGCGGTGCCATCGTCTGCGACACAGGGCACGGCCTGATTAAATTTTATCCTGTGACGAAGCGCCTCGTTGCACACTTGCCCGACGATGTCTTCGGCAGGAAGACGACCCAGGAGAGAACTTGCAATTTTTCGCGTTTTCGTTGCAAAGGGAGGCCTGTCGGCTATCTCATGGCGTGGCTCCTCCACGTGGACCCCGACCTTGGCCGCTACACCCACGTCCATCTTTTATCTGCTGATTTTCACCGCCGAGAGGCAACCATAGATTTTTTCAAGAGGCTTGGCAGCCCCGAGGCGCAGTTCATCCTGGAGCATGGGGAGAGGCCCCAGTTGGCTGACGAGGGCGAGGAGCCCCTGCATGCAAGCTGAGCGTGTCAAATGTAAGCCAGCGTGGACCCCGACCAGTGTATCTTAGCACGCACTGTTTGGGGCAATGGATGTGGTGCAATGTATGTGGTACAATCTATGTGGTGCAATCTTTGTGGTGCAATCTACGTGGTGCAATATATGGGGGGCAACCTATGGTGGGAATGCATGTGGTGCAATCTGTGTGGTAAAACATATGTGGTGCAATCTATGCGGTGCCGTCTGCGTGGTGCAATCTATGTGGTGCAACCTGTGTGGTGCAATGTACGTGGTGCAATCTATGTGGTGCAATCTACGTGGTGCAACCTATGTGGCGCATTCTATGCAATGCCATCTATGTGGGCCCATGTGTTGTCATCCCTCCGTGTTCCCTCGCCCCCTTCTCACTTAATCAGCCTCTTCCCCGCTCACCCTCCCGTCTGAACAGAGTGAAATACGTTAATGGTAGGTTTACAGCCTATGCGCAACGTTATATGTAAGCTTGCAATAGGAAGGTCGGGAAAGCAGCGCGCTGGGGCGCTACCCAGCGACCCACCCACCGACGCAACCAGAAACACCGAATTCACACCCAGCTGTCGTGAGCCTGCGGAACGATTTGCGCGCCGCCGCGCCGAGCCCGCCAGATATTTCCATGTGCGATTGGGGCTATGTCGCCCGAGCGCCGCCGCGACTATCATCGTTGCGCCGCCTTCAACAAACGTGTGTGAGTTTCATATAGTTTGAACGGGGTAGCGGGGGTTCGCGAGCGAACCCGCCAACAGACGAAACTCGGCGCGGCGCGAGCGGCGCCCCTCACGCGATGAGCGCGCGGCCACGAATCCCCCCCTCAATAGAAATTAGCGCGGGCTGCAGATCGCGACGGCACGGGCCTACGGGCGGCGCGCGGCAGTCTGGGTCAAGGGGGCAAGGGCGATCAAGCAATAAGTGGCCGCGCTCGCGCGATTTGCGGTCCATGCGGAAACGCGGCGCGCACAAGTTTTGTCACGACAGGTACATGTGCCCCTCCCAGCAGTAAATGGGCCCCTCCCAAAAGTAGATATGGCTTTCCAACAAGCCTATCGGACCCTCCCAACAGGTAGATAGGGCCCTCCCAAAAATAGATTGGACCCTCACAAAAGTAAATAGGACCCCCCAGCGCGTAGATGTGACCCCCACCAAGACTAGGTAGGACCATCCCGAAAAACCATTAAACACAACCAACAAGTACATATAACCCCTTCCAAAGTAGATAGGACCCTCCTAACATGTAGGTCGGACCCTACCACAAGCATGCAACACCCTGGAAACAAGTAGATATGACCCTCCGAACAAGTATATAGAACTAGCCCAACAAGTAGGCATGACCCTGCCAAAAGCAGATAAGACCTGCCAAACCATAGATCGGACCTTTCCAACAAGGAGATCGGACCCCCCCAGAAGCATAATGGACCCTAGCAAAAGTAAGTCGGGCCGTCACAACAAACATATACGACCCTCCCGCCAGTAGGTAAGACCCCCCCCAGCGAGTAGATATGGCCACTTCAAACAAGTATATAGCAACGTCCAAAACGTAGACAGGACCTGCCCAACGAGTAGATGGGACCCTTCCAACAATAGATAGGACCGTCCGAGAGTGGTTCGGACTACCCCAAAAGTAGACACGGCCCTGCCGACCAGGTCGGACCCCCCAAAAAACAAATATGACCACCGCAACCAGTACATCGCCCTCCCAGCATGCAGATCGGACCCTCCCAGACGCAGATCTGACCCTCTCAACAAGTAGATAGGACCCTCCCGACAAGTAGATAAGACCCTCACATACGTAGATAGAACTCTCTTCAGATTAGATAGGGCGCTCCCAAAAACAGATGGGACCCCCCCAGCAAGTAGATAAGACTTCCCCGCAAGTGTCTAGGACCCTTCCAAACTTATATAGGGCCCACAAAAAGTAGACATGACGATGCCGCAAGTGGGTATGACCCCCCAAAAAATAAATCGCCTCCCTCCAAAAAGTAGACGGGGCCATCCCAAAAGTAGATAGGACCATGCTCTCCGCGACCAGGGCACGTGCCCCCTCTCGCGGAAGCAGGATCGGCTGCTCTGGTGGAGTTGCGCCGCACGGGGCCGCCCGCGCCCGCCCGCGAGCGCGGGCCTTGCGCGGGGCTAGACGTGCACACGGACGGGGGCGGGCCCGTCCGAGGTAGACCAGCCTTGCGCGTGTAATGCTGTCCCGATATGGTTCTCCGCGCGCGCGACGAGGTTTGCTAGTGGCGGGTCGAAGCTCGCGCGGGCGACTTGCCGCCGCGAATCGCAGCGCTTGCGCGAGCGGCAGCGCCCTGCGCAATGCCCGAGCACTCCGCAGCGGGGTTCGGCCACCTGCATGGATCGCGCCGTGCATCGTGATGCCATCCTGCGGGGTCGCGCCACCAGGGTTCACATCACCCCGAAGCGGGGTGGACGTGCCCGCGAGGGTTCTCCCCGACAGGGGCCGCGCCCGCCCGCGAAGGGTCGCCATGGATCGCGCTCATGATAACCGCTGTGCGCTTCTTTTGATGCCCGAGTACGATTGGTCCGCGCTGGGGCATGTTGGTTGCGCGACCATGCGCGCGGCGAATGCATTCCGCATCGCGGTGCCCGAAGCTATGATTTGTAGCACGTGCGCGCGGGGGCCGACGCTCGTGTCCTAGACTCCCCCCCCCCCACGCTTCCCGATCGCGCGAATACCATTCGGAATTGCAATCGGGACCTCGGGGTTCGCCGCGGCATCGGGGGGCGCCCTGGCGCCAAGGCCCGTCATGACCCAGCGGCGCATCTCGCGAAATGCAGCCATCGCTGGCCACCAGTGCCGCGCAAGGCGTTCGCCCCCCCGCACCCCCCGCTGCCGCGCCCAGTGCCAGTTGGGTTCGGGCGGGCGGCGAAGCTCGCCACGGCGCCGCGGGGCGCCGAACTCCATCCGATGGCTCCGCGGGGTGGTGCGCGCTGGCGGCATCTTGGCCCGACTTGGGGCGGTGGCCTCGGGGGCCGAATGTGGGCACCGAGGCGCAGCATAACTCCAAGGGGGCATCGGGCAACGCCGATGGCGACCAGGCGGCACCGCGGGGCCCAAACCCTTCTTGAGTTTGGAGCCAGCGGGCGCGTGTGTGCCCGCAAAGGTCAATCCGCGGCTGCCAGCGTTTGGAGAGGACCAGACGTCGGCGAACGCATCTCGGGGCGGCGAAAGCAATCGGCCCGAGCGCTGTTGCTGATCAAGTGCGATATCAAGTGTGCTTGGCACGCGCGGGCGCGCGGGCACGGCCCGAGCTTGCTCATTGTTTTTGTTTAAGATTTGCGAACGCCCGATTCACGCGGTCAGCGCTTGGCGCCCATCCAGACTGTTCGCGGCCGAACCCAGGCGTGCATTTCGGCGCCCAGCCCATTTGCGCGGCGACCCAGGACCTCCGACGGCGCCGCCGACACCGCCCGACGACCACCTCCCGACCACCTCCCGACCACCTCCCGACCACCTCCCGACCACCTCCCGACCACCTCCCGACCGCCCGCGGCCGCCCCCCCGACCACCTCCCGACGACCTCCCGACGACCTCCCGACGACCTCCCGACGACCTCCCGACCACCTCCCGACCACCTCCCGACCTCTGGGGCGCCCCGACGACCTCCCGACGACCTCCCGACGACCTCCCGACGACCTCCCGACGACCTCCCGACCACCTCCCGACGACCCCTCCGACCACCTCCCGACGACCATTCCGTTTGCGGAGGCTTGGGCGGCGAACGTGAACCTCCGCCGCGGGCTGGTGAGCCAAACGCGATCGATGTCGGTCGTCGATTTCCAGAGCCCTCCCAGGGCGTCGATCTATGACTGCGGGTGGGCCAGCCCTGGCCTCGGGACCGCTGTCGATCCTGGTGCGCGCCCCTGGTGGCGCTGCGAAAATGCCACATGACCGACGCCTAGGGGCAGCGCCCTGGGGCCAGTAGTTCCCCCAGGGGCTCGGGATTTTGCAAGGTACCCCCCCCCCCGCCCCCCGCGCGCGCGGGCTCGGAATTCTGCGCAGTGCACCAGCAGCTGGGCTCGGTTTTTGCAAAGTACCCCCCCCCTCCTCCGCGGGCCCGGGTTTTTGCAATGCACCCCCGCGCCCCGCCGCGGGCTCGGGATGTTTGCAAGGCCCCCGCCAGCCGATTCCCGCTGCGCCCGCGCCCCCCACGTCATCTTGGGTCTTGGGGTTCGCGCGGTATCGCGCCCTCTCCCGTTCGTTGCGAGGCGGCGCACCGCGGGGCGCAGTGTTTGGGCGGAGCGCAGGCGGGGCGCGGGGCAGGAGATGGCGGGGGGGGGGGCTCGGCGCGGGCTTCTGGCAGAGAGGGATCGCCCGCGACGCCGATGGCACCGCGGGAGGAGACATGCGGGGCCCGTAGTCTCACGGGCCCCTCAATCCACAGAGGCGCATCCATGCCCCGCAGACCCCGATGGCCCCGCGGGCTCCACGGCCCCCGTCGTCGCGCGTCGCAGGCCGCACAGTTACCCTGGGCCCCGCAGGGCCCGCTGGCCCCGCCAGGTTTCGCAAGGCAGGCACCGCGGGTTCCAACGGCCCCACTGGCCCACTGGCGTCGCAGGTCTCGCACGCCCCACTTGCCCCATCTGCCCAAGTAGCCCCGCAGGTCTCGCAGCCTCGCAGGTTCCAGAACCAGCAGGCCCCACAACCCCAGCAGGCGTTGCATGCCCCACTGGACCCAAAGGGGCCGACATGCCCCGCGATGCTACACTGCGGGGCCCGCGGGCCCCAGCGGGCGAGCGAGCGGCGCCTGGGCCGCGTCGCGCTGCGATCGCGCGGCGCTGAGCAAACGCCGACGATTCGGCATGGCCGGCGCTTGCAAACGCGCGCCCGCAGAAGCATGTGGCCCGCGGCTCGGGTCGCCAAGGATGTTGAATGGGTGGGTGGGTGGGTGGTGGCGGGGACCTCGGCGGGCGGGGAAGAGCGCCGCGCCGCGCGCGAGGCGCGTCGCGGCGACGGGCCTGGGGCGCTGATCTCG